ATTATAATCGAAAATTATTTATTAAAAATTACGTTTTAATTATATTATACTTATAATATAGTTAATAATAATAAATTTGTAACGTATAATTTAATATTAATTTAAATATAATTTAAATTATTTTATAAAATTAATACTTTATTTTTTAAATATAAATATTAAAAATATTATAATTAATTTAATATTAATATAATATTATTAATTATTTTAAATTCGTTTATTATTAACGTTTTTTAATATTATATTTATTTTTAATATTTTTATTTTTATTTATATAATTTTATTAAATTTTTAAAAATTTATATTAATTATATTAATAAAATTAAATAATTATTTCGTTAATAATATAATTATATATAAAAATATATTTATTTATAAAAAAATTAACGTAAAATGTTTATAAAAGTAATTATTTTAAATATCGTTTTTAATTAAATTATATTTAAATAAATAACTTCGTTTAAGTTTTTAATCTTTATAATTATATCCTCGAGGGCTTTCGGTTCCAAACTTTATAATGTGTGAAAGGTAATGTCCTTATCGACAGGATAAATATTTGTTAGTAAATCCACCTAAAAGACCCATGCCCCAGTGCCGACACAAATGAAATCCTTTTAGTATTAACAGAGCGCAATTGCAAAATATTCTCCAGTGCGACCTTGATGTCCTTCCATACTGGCGCATAAACCCAGCCCAAGATCGAGCTACTATCATCGAATCCGACATCTCGAAATGGATTTCCTATCGATATGGAGAGTCCTCATGCTTCATTGTGGCTTCCTTGAGATAGCGTAGCACAAGGCTTTCAGCTGATTGGATGATTCTTCCCTGTGCACACATATCCACGACCACCCTTCTGACCGGCGTATCACTGATCTTCCCGTCGAGGGAGAGCCCACCCATAACGTCTGGCATGACATCCAGCGAGATAACATGCGAATTAACCTTGGCTAGGGAATGCTCATCCTAAAGCAACTTGGCGGCAATGGCGACATGTTTCCCGCGACTCCCCCGGTGACCCGTCAAGTACAACTGCTTGCCGCAACTGTGGACTTTTTTGGTCCTCCAGTCTGTCCGGAGGGACCAGACGGTCTTGATAGACACCTGGATCCAATTCTAACGTATCACCGGAACAAAACCCCCCAAATAGATAAACGCATCCGCCTGCGTTCACATAGCTGATCGCATCTTGAGCAACATGAATGCCTTATCCAAAGGAGACGTATAACATCAGGGAATCCTTCTTGGCACAAGATGTAGCGACTGCTCGCCAACTGCCTTTTCTACTGACTGGTGGTACGCTCGCAAGTGTTGCACGAGATGGCCTAAGCCGAGCAGTACGTCGTTGTCGTCATCCATTCCGAGTTTCGCTAACCCACGGACCCTCCCCTCTGTCCATCCGCTGAAGAAGGCTGAGTAGCCACAGAGGCGCGCTAGGTGATCTTGTACCGCCTGGAGGTATCCTCCTTTGGCGGTCTTCAAGGCGAACCCACCCACGATGATGAATTCTCCAAACCCAAATCGGCTGCTGACTGCAGTATGCGTAGTGCTAAAGGTGACACCGAGTCGTGCAGAACCTTTCGAGTAAGTGGATGTCCCTCCACAATTGCGGCTTGCAGCCATTCATCGGTGATGTCGTGACGTCTAACGCTATATGCGCATTGAGCCGAGAGCTTCTGAGCGCGTTTGAGTACTGCGCGTCCCGAGCTGTATGAGCACAGGTCTGCAACATTACCACAAGGACAAAACGGCACTTGCATCTCGTCCAACAATTGTAGAGCAAACTCGTCATTTTCATTAGCCGCAAGCCCCAGAAACCGAGCATTGATTCTACTGTCATCTCCATGCACAAGAAAACCGAGTCGCGAACGTGCAAAAGCTTCAGGATTTGCCACGGCTTCCGATTGAGCGCGCTCGATGAGCTTGTCCACGGTGCTCGCTTCCACAACCACGTGGCCATCTCACCCCCCACGCCAGCCCGGCCCTGAGCCAGACAGTCTAGATTGGTAGATTGTGAATCAAAGACCTTGTTCGACAGTCCTGAACTCACAGTCACTATGCAGAAGCGTTCCTCTTCGTGCTAACGCCAGGCAGCCGCCGAGATGTCGTTCAAAATGGTTAGCCGTAGGTGCGGTAGGCGCCGGAGCAGAGCCGACTTGATATTATACCTTTTAGCAGGCTCTCCCCAAAAGATGCTTGCATCTTGCACGACTCATTGATTGTCAATGACAGCCCCGAAGCCTATTGCAACTTCTTCGAGCAACAGATGAGCATAGGCCGATCTGAGGGTGTTGATCTCACAAACAATCGACCCCAGTAGTCTCTCCTGGAGCATGGCCAATGTGTCACACGGGAACGAGTGCTTGCTTGGACTTTCAACTCTCGCGGGGTTCATCGATTAGATCTCCATGTGGGCCGAAAACCGCGACTCCAAGGAAGGTCGATCCGACATCCAGGACAATGACGGGAGGCTTATCCCAAGGGCGGAGAAAATCCCTCCATTTCTTAGCCAAAGCTTTCTCCTGGTTCCGTTCCCACGTTGATCGCAGTGGACAGCAGCGTCTCTCAATAAAACCAAGGTGATGACCTGCTTGCCCAACAATGTCGCTAATCTTTTCAAAGAGTTTATGGCCGGGCGCACAATTAGTTAAGCCTGGATGAAAGTTCATGAAAGCCCTGTACGCATCGTGGCCGTCTTTCTCGATACTGAACCCTCCAATCTGCGACGAAACCCGTGGCGGACACCTAAACCACCTGTCCTGTTCATATGATTCGTCAAGATCTTTTGAGAAGATGGTCGGAGTTTATTGTACCATTCGGTCAAAGCCTGAGCCACTATGGTCGTGAATACAGATTTCGAAGCACTGGTAGTGAAGGAGCCTCGAGCAAGCTCGAAGTTGAATGTGTCCTCAGGAACAGCGCTTGCGGTTTCATCTGATGGTGCAAAAGCCTCAGAGTGATGGAAGGTATTCATAGTCCAATGGTGAGAAGATCGAAATGACTCGTCGACCGTCTGGCGCAAGCCACGCCGGAATGGCGTAATATCTCTGCGCAGTCAATGACGGACAAAGCTTGTGTCAAGCCTTAAAGCCCTAGGAGGAGTACTGCTATCTTTGAACACCACGGTAGCACCGTCCCCAATCAATTCTCTCGCCATGCGCCATACGTCTTTCAAGTGGATACTCTCGCCGGAGGCACCGTCAAATGCATTCGTATCGGGTGGTTGTGCGAACGCTGTGTTCATAATAATATCATTGAGGTCATCAACGTAGATGAAGTCCCTAATACCTGCCGATTCGCAGGTTCTCTTCTCCTTTGGACGAACAGCACGAGCAACAAAACCCCTGGTGAAAGAGGGTCCGTAGACTCCTGATATCCTGCTTAGGATATATCGAGGTGATAGTAATACAAAATGCTCTCCAAGTCGCTTCGATATCTCGTATACATTATGACCCGGGGGTAGTGGATGCCGCGCAAGGAATTCCCCCGCTAACCCCTCTAGTAATGCAGATATATCCCGATCTGCCGCTAGGAATGTTTCGCCTTCAGCAAAGCAGTGCGCTGCAGCTTGAATCCATGACCCCACACGTTTGTCGTTGAGTGTTAAATGGACTCGCTGTGAGGAAGGGTATACAACTTTGATGTCCTGGTTCTTCTCCGAATTATTTATCATGCGTGAAATGATGCCTTGACCAAATCCATTCAAGCCAATGACCTTTGCGTGATCAGCTATATCGGAGCCAAGAGACACCACAGCCGCCATGTTGTAGATAACATCGACGTTTTTGATGATGATTTCCAGATTGGTAGTATCAAGCGGGTGCCCCGTGAGTACATACAGCTTGGGATTATCAAGGGTTCCTAACTTATAACTGAAAGCCCCCAGGGACTGTTGTCTGACGGTACAGAAAACATCAGCTCCATTATTTAGAAGATGCCTTGCGAAGCTGAACCCGATATCGCCAGAGGCACCAATGACGGCAGCTATCATTAGTCGGGAGTCATGCCCGTCATTCGCCAAAGAAATTGCACTACTAGCAACGCTAGCTGAGAACGCGGACGAGGACTCAGAGACGTCAGCGACTGAAGAACGAGAATTGAGTGACTGCTGGTCATTCAATGTATCCGCTTTGCCAGTTAAGTGAATCGACTTGAAAGGCTCAAATACCCCATTGACGGTGCTTCCCATCAAAGTACAGTTGTTGTCATGCAAAGAAGTCTGTTTTGAATAGGCCTCTGCGTATCGCTTCAGGCTACGAGTGGTCTCGATAACTATATCAGCATCGACGTCGGAAATTCTATCTATGAAGGTGCCTGGCCAACAGCCTCTGGCACCGCCAGGTGAAGCATGCCGTCTTTGTGTTCAATCCCTTCTGTTCGTATCTTGTTCCACGGGATATGTGCATTGCAGCAGTTGTATTCATCTGTGTATATCAGAAGTCCCAAGCTCAGAATGCAGTTGAAGATGTGCTCCATATCTGATCGTGAGAGTACGCCTTTCAGATGAGCGAGAAAGGAAGACATTGCCATACCGATGCCAACAAATTCTCCGTGTAGAATGTTGAACTTTGCAAGAGACTCGATGATGTGCCCGAGTTCATGTCCAAAATCCACGAGTCGGATAAGGCTTTCTTCGTAAAGATTTGGTTGCAGCTCTTCGAGCATAGTACGAATGGAGAGGTTGATCATTTCATGAGTGTAGGCGTTGTAGGCAAGGTCGAGTTGGCCCATTTCGATGACATGGAAAAGACGCGGGCTTTTGATAATGGCCATTTTGACAGCCTCAGCCAACCCACAAGCGTACTCGCGTCGTGGAAGCGTTGGCAAGAAATAGGCCGGGTCGTTGAGGCATGCTACGGGAGCATAGTATCTCCCAATAAAATTCTTGAGTCCCAAATTTGACGCCAACCTTGACTCCAATACCAGCGTCTATCATCCCAACGAGAGTCGCAGGAAACCTAATGGGGTACCTCCCCCAAACATTGCGGCTGCGAACCCCACGACATCAAGGAGCGTTCCGCCCCCAACAGCAATGAAAATGTCATTGTGAGACACGCCCAATCTGATACCGGCGTCGATTACTCTTAATACGCTGACCATGTCCTTCCCTTTGCTTGATATATGGGTGGCCAGGATGCAAAATCCGCCAGTTGTGGCACGAAAGCTCTCAAAATACCCGTTGATGAGAGAAACTAGACTGCTTCCCAGTCGGCTGTCCATCGCAATTAGGATCCTCTTCCCGGATGGATGCGAGCCAATTCTCCTGCAGTAGTTAAGGATAAGTGTCTTGTTGCTCGCCTTGAAAATATCAGATACGGATGCAACGTGGTATCGCACCACCTCGGAGGCTACGTGTTCGTGGACCTTTATTAATGTTGGTTGGATTATTATGGTTATAGTGATCCTTTATCCCGGATCACTTTGATCCAAGGGTGATCCTTCCCTTGAGCTCATTCGTGGCTCGTCGTGATCCTTTGTCCTGGCTCACCTGCCAAGACCGTGATCCATGTTACGTGACCTTCTCTATCTTATTGGTCCCGTGGTCTTCTTGTCCTGGCGGCTGCGCGCCAGCCGCCTGGTGGGTTCTAGTTGTTCCTTTCCGGGGTCGGGGTTCGTGAGGCTATGTTCGTAACACACGTTTTAATACCTTCCGACATCGATGAGCTCGATTCACGCGAAAGGCACGATTATATTATTTTAATTAATACTGAAAAACAGCGATATAGTGAGTATTTCCGTCGCATTATTAAGTTTTCCTTTATAATCGGACGTGTTTTACGAGAGACGTATGGTCCCCGCCGAGATGTGGCGGTCTGGCTTTAAGTAACGAAAGACTGCGACGCTCTTCTTACGAGTTGGAAAATAAGACTGCCTCGCTTCCTTAACTTCACAACTAGACACCCATTTAAGAAGTCTACGACCTTGAAAAGACAGGTGAGACTGCATTTCCAAAGCCGTATAGTGATTTTTTCCCTTTCTTACTCATTATACCACAGAGGAACATGCTAGCGATTAAATACCATCATTTCCGAACATTAATTCACCGCCCATATCTCTATCATCCAAGCCTGTATGAACAGGTTGGCTACGCACCACCGGCCAATTCGACTGAAAAGCTCCGAATGTACCAAGATATTTGTATCGCAGAAGCTCAAGCGACAATTCGCTTGATGCAGGATGCAAACGACGTTATGGATATAGTGTTATACTTTCCCTGGTGGCAAATGGTGTCCTGTCTAGTATGCGCGGGCTCTGTCTTAGTGATGGCCGGAGCTCTACTTCAATAAAGAGACGATACGGACTTCAGAATTACTACATTAGACGAAGATCTTGCCACATGCTTGAAAATTTTAGAGGCGCTGAGCGACAAATCGGACGGGTCAAAGCTTGCCTTGGAAATGCTGAAGAAGACTAAGGCCCAGACGAAGCGGCTGTCTGAGAAGTTGTCAACCCCAAAGACTAGTCACGAATCGGAGGACAGCTCTCAGGCTGATCAGTCTTCTCTTCTCATTGATAAACGACCCGTAGAGCTTTTTTCATCCGGACAAGGCTGGTCTTCTTCCCGGCAATGATTTAGTTCACGGGTTGGGGATTGACGTGGCCGCTGGGGGGGGGACGAAACGTGGCATCTGGATATTCCGGATTCCATGAATTGGCCTGCTCAGTTTCTAGATCTATTACAGGGCTCCAGTGCACCATCGCACGACTGATGACTCATTCGCAATCGAAATCACAAAGGATAGTTGAGGTAAGTAGAATAAATGGTAAAGCTTCGCTTGGCTAGCCCTCGTCCCCATAGCCTGACTAGAGGCAGACTCGAAAGCCGATTTCTCTTCGCAGGTATGCGCAGTCGGTGCTGCCCACCCAGTATCACTGACGTTTGAGTTGGCACAAGATGGCATGTCGATGGGCGATGCGGAAAGTGTTGGGAACACGGTCAAGAATGCGACTAATAGATTTGTGTTCAATCCGAGTGATTGCTGCGGGGCGCTAGTCTTTCTGCCCGGGCAGCATGCAACGGTCGTTTTCATCCCTCCCCGGGATGCCTAAAGAGTCTGCAAGTAGCTCTACTATCAGGGTGGGTTTTCCGAATATGAAGAAGGTTGCCCATGACGGATCTGGCGGCACCCACGGGACCACCTCGACGTCATGTCGGGGGTTTGCACATACGCATTGCTGCTCACTAGTAGTCTACCCCTAGATATTGGATTTGGGTTATAATACACCCAAGCCTAGACTTGCAAGAAAGTTCAGCGACATACCACTGGTGTCCAAAATGGACGTCCATATTAAACTACACCACGAGAACGAGCATAATGTTTATACGTCTCTGGACGTGGTCACCGGGTTGATATCACTGAATCTGCCGGAAATCATTTCGATCTCTCGTCTGGAGCTTTCTTTGAAAGGTAAGTGGATGAAGTTTTCGCCATAGTCTGCAGCCCGCTCACATTCTAGACACAGGCAGGGTGTTGTCCTACGAGAACCACGCTGCTGCCCTTGAACAATGGCCTGTTCCTTATTATCGCAAGGTCAGGACCTATCTAAAAGAAAATGTCTTCTCTCTCTCTGACATGCTGTCTCAGGTGTTTGAGGTGTCCCAGATGTTATTCCCGAGACCTCCGCTCAGCGCCACAGCACGATATACATTAGCACGGGGGATCCATGGGTTTTCGTTTGGGATCGATTTCTCTCTCTTATCTGACTGCGTAAACAGTATTCTGGCATCAAACCTGGCATCTGACTGCATATGCTGCGATACCCGTCGATTTTTCTGTTTAGTTCAAGTAACAGCCAGAGGTTGCGGCCATCTCCGTCGTCGGATTCGCAGACAGCTTGCGCTCACACTGGTGCGCGTGGAACTACCACACATGGCTTCATATCCAAGCCAGGGGTCGAAGAAAACTTATCACACGCTCTACCCTCAGCAGCTTGGGATTGGAAGTCAGGCTCCGGTCAAGGTCGGAGATCTACCTCCTTACAGCCCCGCCATTGTGATTGGGGCAAGTCTCGGTGGTACTGGACTGATAAATATTGGAGACTCACTACCGCTGCATCTTTGGGTAACGGTACCGCACTTCATTTCTAGGGAACATGACATCTACCTCGAGAGTCTTCAGATCTTTCTTATCGACACTACCACCCTCGGCTTCGGCGGCCATCAAGGATTGAATTTGACAACCATCAAGATTGGGTGGATCCGAGTGAACCGGCTGCTAAAAACTAGGCCGAACGACGAATTAATCGAGATCGAAAGCTCTTCGTGGAGGGAATGTCGTGTGCCGCAAGGCATTGTCAGGTGTGAGGCGCAAACTGCAGCTCAAAACTGTCGGTTGCAAATACTGTGTGAATTATCCGCAAATAAGGCGTCGATAAGCACGGTGAGGACCCATGAATCTATTCTTTGATTATCACTACGCCAATTCAACTAACTATATATATATACATGGAAGTACGCATCAATACTTCTTCCTATTACACTCGTGTCTGCTGCAACGCCTCCGCCCTATCAGCCAACCGTTATCAGCGACCATTCCTGCGGCGTTCTCTCTGCTATATCTAACGTGGTGGAAACCGCCAGGTAGTTGGTTTTATTACGGCCAATACGGCTGATTGCCAGTACGAAACGGTATCCTTCCACTAGCATGCAAGCATGAGACACGGAGGAAGAGAGGACATCTTGCCACTCTTAGCTTTACCCCCATATCGATGGGCTGGAGAACAAGTCTCTTGTAGCTAGGGACATATTGTATTATCAATACCTTTACGTCCTCCATTTTCTCACATTAATCTACTGCATTGCGCACAAGCTGGTCTTTCCTTTCGATAATAATAGTGGCCGTTGGCCACGACCCCATGAAAAGAATTAACACGAGTGTGAAACAACAAAACGTCATCAACCCTGAATAGTGATACTGTCGGGACCATCAATAAAGTACGCAGCGGCCGGGTGATTCCACAAGTTCTCGCGTAGAGCTATATGATAGACCGTGATCAACGTCTAGCTAACACCACTACCGAGGGTCAATGTACATACGCCAATTACAATCAACACTGAAATGAGACTTGTACTGGCCAACGTGCCAATGTATTAAGGGGTCTGGAGGACGCATCCGATCGTGTGGATTCTCATCACGAGACTAGTCTGCATGAACTAAACTAATGTGTATGTGTAGGATCAATCCATTTCACTGTGGTTGGCTTCTCGACTGGTTCAACATTTGGCAAATTGATCGCAACAGCCTCCGAATCACTCCTCATCAAGACACACTCCAGCTGCTCATCGGCACTGGCATTGATCTCCTGGTGCGGCACGTAAGGCGGGACGTAGATGAAGTCGCCGGGGCCGGCCTCAGCTGTGAACTCGAGCTTCTCACCCCACCGCATTCGCGCCTTGCCCTTGACGACGTAGATCACGGACTCCAGGTGCCCGTGGTGATGCGCCCCCGTCTTAGCATCCGGGTGGATATGCACCGTGCCCGCCCATATCTTTTTTGCGCCCACGCGGGCGAAGTTGATGGCGGCCGCGCGATCCATGCCCGGCGTCGAGTGCGTATTATGGTCGAGGTTGTCGCCGGGAATAACCCGGACACCCTCGTTTTTCCAGCCGTCGGTGGGCGGGGGAGGGATAGCCTCGGCGTTGCTACCAGACATGGCGAAAGGTGTTATAAACTGTGGATGGAGGTGTCCTTGGTGTGAGTTGTCTCTTAAAAGCGACGTGCGAAGTTGCGAATGTCGGAATGAGGGGAAGCTCACGACCCTTTCTCAGCCCTAGAGGACCGTGGTAGCGGTCCGGGAACCTTATACCGGTCCCGCCGAGCCTACCCGCTTCGGTGCCCATGGGAGCGGGTCGAGCTCGCACGTCATCCGTCGCCGGATTCGCGTGAGGGCACGTACGACACAGGTACACCCCAGCTGCCCGAGCCCCGGGGAAGGTGAGAATGGTCGCAAAACTCCGTGTCGTTTCGGATTTCTGAACCTTGTTTTTTTTTTAATTGGTACGAGGTTTCTTTTCCCCCGGCAAGCGTCTGAGGAGAAAGTCCCCTAGACGCTAATGGCAAACCATATATTAACCGTTATTAAGTAACAGACTTGCAAGCTGTGGAAACCGAGCGCACGACCCCTTGTGGTCGGGCCTGGATTCCAATTTACAGTTGAGGCATTGAGCGTAGGTGTGCAGGTATAGTCTTGACTTGTAGACAGCCTGACGCCAATGCAGCTGAACAACAACCCTGATCGTCTCTAGGATAGTCCCGTAAGGTACCAAGTGTACAACCGCTCGAGCCTTGCAAAAAGCGAAGTACGCCGGTCTCTCATCTTGAACCTTGCCATGGATCTGCACCAAGCATGGCAGAGCCAGCGAGGAATAAGAGAGGCCAGGGCCCAGAAATATCTTCCCCCGGTGATGAGTCGACCTTTACCAACCCAAGCGTTACTACCCCGGGACTAAGTTAGACGACAATGTACAGTCCTTACCAGACGTTGCAAGCCGACAGGTATTCCACTATCTTCTCAGGAAATATAGCATGGCGCACAATGCGCTGTCCTCTGGAAGCTCCGGAGGGCGTCGTCCAACTACACCTGCTGAGGCAAGGCGGCAGCAATGTGCAGCAGCGCGGCTTCCTTGGAGCCAGACCTCCTCGACCTGGAAGATGATCATTTTTTGCGATATGATTCAGGAGAAGCTAACCCCGCCGAGATATTTTGATCAGAGGAAATATAATTGTCGTCATTGTCCGAACCGTTCCGAGCTGGCGGCGGCACATATTTAGCCTCATACACAATGATAAACTAATTGCAAAGTCAGACCACATGGACAGTCGGAAATTCAGGACGGATTGGTATTCGAACATGACGGATACGCACAGAGACATCAGGGAAAAAGAGTTTCTTGTCTGGGTACTGCTGATTAATGATTCGAACTGACTTTGAAGCTTGGGGTTGCATTTTTTCCGAATGGGAATATGCGTAGGATAGAAGCCGAGTTGGCTGCCAGAGAAAATAGGAAGCGAAAATAGGGTGAACATCACACTCCATCAATGACTCTATGCTCTGCAAAAGCGGATCTTCCGTTACTGTCTCTTTAGTTGACAGGGTCCTAACGTCCCAAAAGGACATAAGCTCACCCTCCTGATTTCGAAATTTGGCTGAGCCAAGCTTTGTTGATCTGGTAATCACCTTCCTCTTCCACTGTCGTGGATGGAGAGTACCAGGGATAGTGGCAGAGTCGTGCAATATCACCAGACCACTTCCAGTATATTCCGCTCATAGGCTCCTTTGTCTGAAGGAGTGTAGTGCATAACGGGTTGTAGCTGACAGCCGCATTCGCATCTACTTTGAAATACGTTGGCTGGCCCTCAATTTCCTTGCTGTATTCAGGTCAATCCAACGGTGGATACATCACCTGCTAGTAATGACGAGCGCTCTCGCCCAATGAGCATTGCGGACATGGACGATGCGTACAGCTTGTGCTAGTAGCCACCATGACTGCTCGTTCAAAGCCAAATGTCAGGCCGCCAATTGAGGCTGAGAACCCCCCTGAGCTAGCCAGTCCTCAAGGCTATCCAATGCGAGACACACGGCTTCTTCTCGTCCGTTTCGTTGATTGTGATATAGTTTCCGTTAACTTTCATCTTGACGTAATGAAGGAAACACTCCCCAGGTCTGGATGGCTTTAAGGAGGGTATCGCAGGGAACCATTCGACCCAGCCATATGTAGTCAACGCGACCTTTTCAACGGGTCGACAGTGTTATTATATAGCCAAGTTTATGGCTCAAGCCGGATCGAGAATCTATACGTGTGTTCACAGATACACACAAGTATATAATATTAATCAAACAGAGATGGAGATTTGCAGCATAGCCAGTCGGTACATGTAGTGGTCCAAGGGACAGGGAGGGGATGTAGGCGACGCACACAAATAAATTTGAATACAGTCTCTTGGTGGAAAGGTATGTAAATGTCAAATCTTGTCCCTTACCTTACGCCCGCTGAAATCAAAAACCGGAATGGACGGGTATGTGTAGGTAAACATCCCCGAAGACCGTCCGTAGATTGTTCCCTAATTGTTCCCTGATACATGGGGCATTTTTCTTTTCTTCTTCAAACTCGAGTGGCGGGGCTCTCGAGGCACGTCTACTTCCTCTTTCCACCAAACGAGCCTTCAAACCCGGCACGGCCCTTCTTCTTGGCGGCTCCGGCCTTCTTCTTCCCTGCCTTGCCCATCAGCCTTTCGTCCTTGCGCTTCTTGATGTTCTCCTCGCGCTTGTGTTGGCGCTGCTTCATGGCCTTCTGGACGCCCTCGGCCCTCTCCTTCCATGCCTTCTCGCTCTTCTTCTTCTGTTGCTCCTTCCGCTTCACAGCCTTCTTGAGCAGCTTCTCGTCGTCTCGGATCTTTTCGCCCTCAACCTTGCGCCTTGCGGCGAGCCACGTCTCCTTCTCCTCAATGTCCTTCCGCTTATCCTCGTCCATATTGGCAAGGCGCTTCTTCTCGTTCTGGAACTTGAGCAGGGCCGTCTTGGGGTCGGATTTGCCCTTCTTCTTGCCTTCGCTCAGCGTATGCGAAAGGTCATGGGACAATTGGGCACCGTCAGCGAAGGCGACCCTGCCGAAGGTGAAGTTGTTGTCGGCCAGATCCACGGCCGGGCTGAGGATGCTGCCTGGCGAGTTGCGAGCCGAGGCCAGGGCTTCCTCGCGCTTCTGGTCCTCCTCTTCCTTGGCACGTTGTCGCTGCTCCCGCTTGTGGGCCTTGCGCTCGGCCTGCTTCTGTCTTCTCGACTCGATCAGCTCCTGGCGCGTACGAATCGGCTTGCCGTCGGGCCCGTCGGCCTTGCGGGCTTCACGGAGAGACTGGATCTTGGCAGCGAGACGGGCCCGCAGGGCTGTAGTGTCTGTGGGGATCTTGATGTGTTTCGGCTTCTCCGAAGGCGGCACGGTGGACGATACGGATGTGGTAGTGCTCGGTGCCTGGCCGGTGGAGTCGGCTGGTGTGCCGTTGGTGTCGAACACGGGCGACTCGGGATCGGAGGGCGACTCGGGTATGTCGCCCGCCTCGTCATGGGCGCCGGCGTCGGCGTCAGCGGCGATTCCGGAGACATCCATGTCCTCCACATCGGAGCCATCGTCGTCCTCGTCCTCGTCGTCGTCGTCCTCGACGGTATCCTTGGATGCGTCGGCGGCGGCAGCCGCAGTAGCACCGGCGGCAGCTTGCCTGGAGCCTCTGGCCGCGGGCTTGGACTCGCGCGCGCCGAGCTTGATCTTGTTGACGCCGGACTTGACATTCCTCCTCTGGAACTCGGCCTCCTCGTCACGCAGAGCCTGGCGCTCGGCCTTCCTCTCCTTCCTGGCCTCCCTCTTCTCGGCCTTGCGACGTTCCTGCTCGGTCAGCTCGGGGTCTTCCTCGTCGACGGTCTTCTGCTTCTTCTTCTTGAGGCCCTGGCCGGGCTTCTCGGGCTCGACGCCGTCAACGTCGGACCAGTGGTCGGAGTCGTCGCCGAGGCCCTGGTCGCGCTTGCGCTTCTTCAGCGCCTGCTCCTCCATGACCTCCTTGACGCTGCGGTTGAGCTTGCTGTCAGGGTCGAGCTTGTTGCGGCGGGCCTCGGCAGCCTGGGCTTTCGTCTGCTTCTTCTTCTTCCACTGGGTCTGCGGGTGCCTTGTCAGGAAAGGAGTACGAGCGGAGAGTTCCAACGGGAGGGGAGGGGGAGGAGAGAAGGTTGTCATCGATGACGGGCTGGAGCTAGGCCGGCAGCCAGGGGACAGGAGGGTAGGCGAGCACATACATTGCCCTCTTCGCCATCGCCGTAGTACATCTTGGCTGGGATCAGGGACAGCAAGCCGTCAAAGGCCTTGGCGTGGTCGCGCAGGCGGTCCTGTCGATTGAACACGTTTGTCAGTCTTGGGAGGTCTGCGGGTGGCGGGGTCCGCTCGGCGCCGACGAACCTGCAACGATGATTCCGCCATTCTCGACGAGGCGCGCCTGGTATATCCGAGGGGGGGAAGGGGGGGATCGAAGCACTGGTTGGATAGACGGCGGGACGTGTGCTGCTCAGAGGGGGCACAGGTGCTGGGCGAAACGAACGGGCACTTTTCCGGTGCGAAGAGTGGCGTCGATCGGGTGATGGGCGACGACGATGGCGACGGTGATTGATTTTGTCCCCAGAGGATTGGAATTTTTTTTTTCTGGGTGCGGAGCGGGTCGCTTACCGCTAACTTAAGTCAAGTGTCGAAATCTTGGCGCCTTTCTTGCCTTTTTGCCTTTCTGCCTCTCTGCTCCCCCTCCCCACCGTTGGCGGCCAGGCGGGCCCTGCCTATCCGCTAACTGACTTACAGCAGGCGGTGAGAACGCTGGCCACTGGTGTGGAAAAGCCAGCCATCATCCTGGATATTCATTCATACACGCAGATAGGCACAGGCTTCTGTCCAGTCCTGTCCTCACTGCA